AACAAGCACGATCCCTTGATATACAATTGTGTATCCAGTGATAGTGACAGATTCCTAACTACATGTAATCCTTTCACATATGATTACATGCGGTGTGCAGACGTGTACATGCAGCAGCTGTCTCCCGATCAATAATTTGAATGGGTGACAGTTGCCGCTTGTAACATGTGCATACATTAACACTGGCACCGTATATAGTAGCGGCCCCCACGGGACTACAAAAATGTGTCCAGTGGCCCCCCGACTAAATTGAGTTTGAGACCCCTGCTCTAACCCATCCCCGATAGTGTTGGACAGCTGCATTTAAGGCAACTGGAGCTGCTTTACTGACAAAACAACAGTAATTCATTGCGTGCTTACTGTGTTGCAGAACAACACAATGTGTTTACAATATTTTTTTAAGAAACTTTAAAATGTAGGCTTTTGGTATTTGGGTATAAAAGCCAGAGCTTTTATACCCAGTGGAGGACTGAGACCACTCCCCGGGTACCGAGGCAAACAGGTAGCCTCTCCATCAGGAGCCAATGGCGAGAGAGAGGCAGAGGGTGTGTGCTGGGAACCTCCCCCAGCAAGGATCACACCTGACACCAGTAACAGGCGCAGGCACACTACGCGTGCGTCTCCGTGCCTGCGCGCGCAGCCTGTCCACCACGCACTCGTCGTGCATTGCGCGCATGCGTACCCGCAGTCCTGGCTCCAGGGGTCCTGCCAGGAAGGGGAACCCGTGCCCCCCGCCGCACATGGCCACCCCGAGGAGAGGTAAGCCCCCTGGTACTCTGACAGTTTCTGAATCAATTTAAATTAAAAAATTACTTTTTTGAAGAAGTGTAAATGTTACCTTTTCTGGACTTTATTTATTTATCATACTATATCATACTACATACCTGCTATGATATCAAATGTTTAAAAAAACTGGGATAAATGTGGAGGAAGGGTAAAACAACACAATCGAAACCATGGTTTAACCCTTTCGCTGCCAAGGACGTATGGCATACGGACCTACAAAAGTGCTTCCAGCTGGCCAGGTCAGTATGCCATACGGACCTGGCATTTACAGTTCTACTATAAGCTGATGGTCGCTTTAGCGACCATCAGCTTATAGTATAACTGTTCAGCAGACTGTCCCCTTTAAATTAATAGCTGTCATCAGCGGCTCA